AAAAAAAAAAAAAAAAAAAAAAAAAAAAAAAAAAAAAAAAACTAAATTTGGACAAACAAACAAACAAAACAGGGGTTTATTACCATAAAACATTAATATTACCCCTGGATGCATAAGAAATGTAAAAAGTTATAATTGTTGTGAAAATGTAAAATATTTTGTTGAAGTCTTGCCATTAATAAATGAGTATAATAATTCAAGCAGTTACAAAATCTTACCAATTATATGAACAAAGTGACATCTTTTTGAGTAATAAATTTAAATACTTATTGATTGTTGATATAACTTACACAAAAAATAGTCCATTACCTAAAAAAGTTATAAATTTTCAAACACCAGCGATAAATCCCTAGAATTTTCTATCCGTCCTTACAGAAGCCAAATTGTCAAAGGTGTCACCTATAACAAAAAACACATTTCCAGTATATTTGGATACGCTTCCAGAGGCACATTTGACGTGATTTTTCACGTTTTAATTGAAGTCGTTAATTCTAGCTTACGCATTTTTCAGCCATTGGACGTAATAAACTGTGTTTGAATGCAATTCCCAAACACACCAACTTTCTAGCAGAAAACCTTGTTAAAGTAAGGACAACATTGTCGTACACAATAAACACCTTTTCAGTCATACATGTGAAAATAACAACAAAACACAATTTCCTCCATATTTGAGACAAATAAAAAATCCAAAAAAGAAACAACCTTGAAGAAAACAAAGAATGCATTGAAAAGGAAAAGAAAGGCTGAAATGCCTCAGCAGAAACCACAAGAAGTCAAAAACAAATAAGGGAATGTTGCACGAGAAAACCTGTTTGAGCTTCTTAATAGCGTTTTTCCTTTTCTCATCCTCTTCTGGCGGCGGAACAAGTCCTTCATCAGCCATGAACTGCATACACACAATTATTAAACCCCAAAATAAAAGTCATAAACTTTAAATAATACCCAAATCAAAAATCCATTTTTTTTTTTTAAAAAAAAAGTTCACCTGAAGCAGAGAAATGGACCTTTGATTGTCCATTACGAAGAAAAGTGAAGGGTTGAAGGGAAAAGGAAGCAGCACCGTGGAGAGCGGAGGAGGCGGCGGCAGAAAGGGGTGGATGATCGGAAACGGCGGAGGGTCGAAAACGACGTCACTTGGGATAGGGCGAGAAGTTGGAGATTCAAATTCCATGCAAGTTGGCAAAAACCTCTCCCCAAAATTGCTAAACCCAAAAATAAGGAATGGCTTCGACAAGGGATTAAAATTGAAATGAAAAATAAAAAAAAAATAATAAAAAAAAGTATATAATTAATAATAAGGAAAAGGAAAAAAAGAAACAGCGATTCGGTCGTTATAGGAAATTCTAAAAAGCGAAAAAGAATACAAAGAAAGCGGTGTTCTGTTGAGACGGTTCTCGTGAATGATCTATGTTTAGCAATACCTTCTTTCTTCTTCTCTTTCTTTTTTTCTGCTCTGCACTCTCACTCTTTATACTTCTTAACCTTCGTCTCTCAATGTCTCATGCCACCTTCCATTCTTTAATTAACAAAACACAGAGGGACAAAATATGCTATGTTCCTATAAATGTATCTTCCGTTATTTATTTAATTGAAGAAATGGAAAAAATAATTAGTTTATTTTATTTTTAAAAAATAAACTATATTTTCCTACGTGGGAATATAGTTGTTATAAGCCAACTGTCAGTGTACTCAGTGTAGGACTCCTCCAACCGTGAATGATGCAGCATCCATTTTTTTTATAAACTGGGAAGCACTTTGCATCATCCAAATCTTTAAAACAGTGCAGGTACCACTATCTTTATATTTTTCTTACTAATACAAAATTCTTAATCATGTAAAATATCTTACATTAAAGATTAAAATTTTTATATAATTTTTACTTAAAAATAATTAAAAATAAAAAATTTATTGAAAATATAATATTTAATATTTTTTTCTTTATCATGTTTGCCAAAAAATATCAAATATCAAGAAGAGTTAATTTATTAGAAGAGGTTAATCCCATTATATAGTGAATGAAGATTTAATCTTTTATTAAGAGATATTACAATTAATATCAGTACAGGCGTTAGTGGTAAATCTAGATAAAATGAGGAGATGCGTTAACGCCACTATATTTTACCTGTGCCATATCACTACAATTAAAAGATATAATTGGTTGTCAGTATAAAAAAACTTTAATATATAAGTGATTAACTCATATAAATATGTGTTTGGTGTTATTATTTTTTACCTCTTATTTTTATAATTTAAATCTATTGTCTCTAAATTTTCGATTGTTGTCAAATTTTATCTTTTACTAACCAATTTCTTTCTTATGCTCTGATTCTTTTTCAGTTCAATAAATGTTTTTATTCTTCATTCTGTTGAACATTTTATCCTTATAAAGTATTTCTTTTTCTTCATGTAATATTTATTTTTTTATTTTCACATTTATCATAATAATTAATATTATTATTTTTAAAAATAAATTACGTTATAGCTTAAAGTTCTAGGTCCATCACTAGTATGCCTGTTTTAAAACTGATCTAATCGAAAAATAAATAAATAAAAGTATTGGATTGGATTAGATTTTGAATATATATATATATATTTATTTATTTATATTTATATATATATGTATAACTTTTTAATATTTATGACATCTTCTGTATTTACATTTTTATTACATAATTTACACTAATTTATGAAAATATATTTAATTAATGATAATTATTCAAGTAAAGGTATACATTTACCAAGTTGTGTAATTTTGTTTTTAATAGTATATATTTGAAGAGCTACATTACTATAGTTACATTTAGTATAATGGTGAGATGTTCAGGGACGGAGCCAGGATTTCAATACTGGGGGGCCGAGAATTGGAATGATCAAATGAGGCGCTACATTTTTTTAAAAAAAAAAAAATTCCAAAGTGATACCACATAGCAGGCCGTACCAGAAGTCCAAAAGTTGAATAAAAAAATAAATTTGGGTTATTCATTTAATTATACATATGAGTTTATATTAAAAATAGGGGGTGCCATATAGTAATATATATGTATATAAAAAAAAATTAAAATTGTTGGGGGGGCCGTGGCACCCGTAGGTCCCCCCTTGGCTCCGTCCTTGGAGATGTTGAAACAGTACAGACATAGTCCTATTAGGTATATAATAACTTATAAATGAGATATTTGGTATATTAAATTATTTTAAAATATTAATTCTAATTGATTGTTAATAAAAACTAAATTATTTGTCTTACTATTTATATAATATTTAAAATGTAAAAATATAATAAAACTAAAATTGAATCTCTCTACTACGGAATAGGGGTAAAACTTGGATTTTACTCCAATTAAAAGGCTTAGGCAAGGGGATTCATTATCTGAATCCCTAATTGTTTTATGAATGGAAAAATGGGCCGAAATGATGTTGAAGAAGGCCCATGAGAAGCGGTGACAACCTTTTCAAATGTTCAAAAATGGGTCTCGTATCTCTTTATTTTGTTTTTGTTCAGATGATGTCTTTATTTTTGCTAGAGGCAAACCTTTGCAAAAGCTCTCTTAATTGTTGGAGTTTTGGATAAGCTTAGCAGTAAGTTTAGGGTTGAAGATTAATAATTTAATATGATATCCAAAAAGTCTGGGGCTTTTGCTTCAAAGTTTATCTCATGATCTCATCACAAAGAGGGTTTTGTATTTTGAAGATTCAAGATTTGCCGACACAGTTTGGTTTATTGGCTTTCAACTTCAAAGATATAACGTTGGAAGGCCTGGTCGGAATACCAGAGTTATTTGTGTTAAAATAATATTTAATTAGTAAAAGAAATATTTTATATGTATAAATTAATTGTTGATAGTTAATTTTGAGATATTATATAAATTATTTCTATTAAAAAAATAAAAATGAAAACAAAAACTTGAAGACATAATATTTGTGAGTATAGGTTGAAGAGTCCGAATCTAGAAGTGTTGCGTATTCCTAATTATGACTTGGAGCTTAGCTAGCAGATAAACACCACCCACTAACTATTATATATATCTAACAAAGTTACGTTACAAAATAAAAAAGGATTATAGTTAAAAAGAGAAATAGTTTTTTTCAAGCCATCACTCACACAAAAAAGCACACATAGATTTTTTTCTTAATAATTCTAACTATTTAAACAATATTTTTTTTATTAAGGAAAACATTTTTCTTTATTCTAAGCACGTCAAAGTAATTTACCTTTTTTATTAAAAAAATAAAATAAAATACAGCTCAAATATTGGAAAACCGAAGCTTTGGAATTTAAATCGTGGTTACGTTATATGTTCAACGCAAGTTTCACCCTTTACTTTTTCTGCTGAGAGATTATTTGAAAATAGAATTATGCGTGTTTAGGTAGGCAGTTTAATTAAATGTTAGTAAATGGAAAATTATTTATAACTTTGTAATGAAATTTATAAAAATAAATTAGAAATTAAATATTCTATTAAAATATGTATAAAAAATATAAATGATCACACATTAATTTTTTAAGGTCAACTTAGCATACTCTGCTACTCAAAAAAATAAAAATAAATAAAATAAGCATGTCTGAATATTTAGGATCTGTTTGTTTAATTTTTTTTTTCACAAAAGCGCTTCTTTTAATAAAATAAGTGTTTTTTTTTGTGTTTGTTTAAATTTTTTCCTTAAAATAAACAGTTTTCTATTTATTTTAAGAAACAATTCCTATATGTTATTTAAAGATTTTTTATATTTTTTATAAAAGCACTAGTTTAAAAATACTTCTTTTTAAGACAATGATAGTTAATAACTATAAACGAATCTCTTGAGGACCCTTTTCCTCTATATGTAACTTTCATATTTCAATGCCTAAAAAATATAGGATAAAACATTTTTTTATTTTCACCAAAATATCTCAAAATTTGGTTTTATTATTTATAAAAAAAATCAATATATTCTTCATCCCTGTATTTTACAAAAACACATTTTGTAAATATTAAAACCATGTTAATTTTATTAAATATACAAACTAAAAACATATTAAATTGTAATAAAGACTAAAGTCGAATTTTGAAATATTTTGATAACCAAAAATTTATGTCTTAGACTAAGAATAGTACTACATTGTCATTCATACCAATACAATTCGATAAAGTTGTAAATACTTCATATCAAATATCCACACCAAATTAGTTACCTTAAAAAAAAAACAACACCCATACAATTCCATATTTGAAAATTCCCTTTGTTTGATTAAAATAAATCACACATGGTTTTCTAAGTAAGGTGATGTGTCGCTGTTAATGTGCCAAACCATTATCCCTATCTAGCATACTTGGGATGTGATACTATAAATGAAAAATCGTAATCCAATCCCAAAGGACAAATCACGAATAATAATCGAGTTTTTTTTTTCTTTCTTCTTTTCTAGATACAATAAAGAAAGAATCTAGAATCTTATACCACATGTTCACCTCTTATAACCAAGACAAAGACAATCCTAATGGAATAATAATCAAGCACATTAAAAAAAAAAAACAAAAAAACAAAAAAACCTGAAACTCACAAAAGAACGCGCTTTACCCTTTTGGTTCCATCGACCTCAGGAACGTTTAGACGACCCTTTTGGTGCGATCACAAATTGTCAAATTCAATTCAAAGCATAACATATAAACACAAAAAAAAAAAAAAAAAAGAAATTCCGTCACAACCAATCATAGAAACAATTTAAACTACGATTGATCCATGAAATATAAAATAAAACATATAATTGTGAGGAAAAAAAAAGGAATGAGAATTAGAGAGTACAACCACAACAGAGGAAGAAGTAGCAAAGCATGGCGAGCAAGGCTATGGACTCAAGGCCCGTAATTAAGGCCCAAAAGACGTCATCAACCAACGACAAGTTCCACTGAATAACACTCTCTACGTTCCAACCCGGGTTCAAATAAGACAAGTCCAACGCCGGCCACCGGAAAGGTGACGTGTACCACCACCACCACGACCTACTCATCTTCCTTTCTTCTATTTTCCCTTCCTTTGTTTGAATTTCACTTTCAATTATGATGTTGAAGCATTTATTAGTCTTGCTTTATAAGATGGGGTATATGTGTGTCAATGACAGAAACATGAATTAACACGTGTTAACACAAAAAAAGCACTCACCAGATTATTCTTTTTATTACGTGAAAATTGTGAATAGATTTTTTATATATACGTGTTAAGAATGTATAAATAAAATTGTTGAAAAAATGCTTATCACATTGATAGTATAAAAGTGAGTTAATTATTTTTTATTTAAATTTTTTGCTTTTGTATATTTAATAGTAGCATCAAGATTGATGTTAATAAAATATGAAATTTTAGCACCACGAGTTTTTTTAATATATGAATGTCTTGTATATTTATAAAATTTGATATTATTGTGCTTTTATTTCTTACTTTTATTTATAATTCAATTAATGTCTATTTTGTATACATATATTTTTTAATTAATAAAATTTTGATAGTTAAGTCGGTTTAAAATAATTTTATGTCGGTTATGGTTAATTCTCCATTGGTTTTTGAGTGCATATCTTAAAGAAAGCAAAACTAAAATTTCTACCTAAGGTTGTCTATTGCTCAATACTTTTTTTTTATATATATAGTTGTGCATAATAAAGAAAATAATTAGGCCAATAGTTGAATTATTTTAATTAGTTTAAAACATGATAGACTCTTTCACTACGTGATCAAATCCTTATTGTAAGATAATTATGTCTCATGTGGGAAATATGTAATATATAAAGGGACTAATAAATAAATAATTAAATAATTAAAGACTAAATCATAAATGGGTTTAATGGAACATTTATGAGAATAATTGTTATTTGATGGAAATAACAATCTTTAGGGATTATAAATAT